ATGAAAAATTGACAGACGTGTGTTAGTGCTTCCCTACTTAGGGTAATTTTAATGATCAAATACAATAATAGATGTGAAAGAATTTTACAAACTGTAGAGGGCTAATTCCATATAAAGAATTAAAACTATTTCTCCTCAGCACTCATACACCCAGTTTGGATGATAATTTCCTATATCAGTCTATGTTTTATTCCTTCTGTTAGACTCTAATGAGTATGATTCACGTGCCAACAGCATAGGCCTCCTCTGGAAGCTTGTAGGAAATGCAGAATCTCAAGTCCTGCCTGATTGCTGAATCAGAATCTGCATTTAAACAAGATCTCCAGATGATTCATACATACATTAAAATTTGAGAAGCACAGAATTAGACTTTAAAGACTTCAAGGGAACAGACGGCACACAATCTCCGGAAAGCCCTCTAGAACCAAGGAGAGGCCTGTGAGCTCTGTGTAATATGGTTGTTCAAGAAATATTACCGTGTGGTGGCTGGCCTGCCAGTGAGAAAACTGACAGCCTGCCTGCATCTAGGCTCTGGCTTTATCCGATACTCATATGAGCAGACCTGACTTGGAGTTTCTTTTCAGGAAACGTTTTAAAACCACATCTGCATAAAAAACACAGAAGGGCTCCTTTGGGAGAGCTCATTACTGGGCAGAGTGCTCAAGTCCTTGGTAACTGGAGGCAGAATCAGTGAACTGGGTCATCTTTCAGGGTCGCTAACGGCCTCCCTCTCCTCAGAGTAAGTCAGTGTAATTCACAAAGACTCCCCAGATTTCACAGTTCATGCCTCCTCACTTTACCTTATATCCCAGCACATTTTAATGACGTTCAGAAGCCACAGGTATGAAAGGGCAGCTGGCTCTGGGACTCCCACAGCTCACACTTGGCGCCTCCACCAAGCCCTGCCTGATAAGAGATCTCTGAAGCTCGCAGCAGCTTCCCTTCTTTTTGAGACGTGGCAGTCCATGCTTCCCACCCGCAAGAAAGTTAATTTGGGTGGGACTCAGATTTCTCCGTCATATGATCCCTTCCTGATGGTTAGCAAAGTGTTTTCTAGAAAGGCTAGGCTGAGGCCAAACAAGCAAAAGCATGCTGAACTACATGGAGTGATGGAAACCAAGTCTTATCTAAGGAGGTAAAAAAGCACCCACCATTAAGAAGAGAGGCAGATTAGCAGAGAGATGGAAAGTTGGGCTGTGGAGTTAGAGTTAGGTTAAAACCCCAGTCCCAGTTAGGTGACCTGGTGCTAATGTCTCTGAGCCTCAGTGTTTTCATCTTTAAAATGGGGATGATAGCCATCTACATGGTGGTTACGAAGATCACTTATATAAAGCTCTCAGAATATAGTGAATCCAAGAGAAGGGCTCAATAAACATCTGATGTTTTTCTGCTGGGTAACTTCAGGCCATGCAGCCCCCAAGCCTGGCCTGCCTCCCAGGAGGCCTCCCCACTCACCTTGATCATTTCCGCCACATAACTCTCGGGCCCCGTGTATTCTGTGGAGTCCTTGACTTTCACCAGGACGATGAAGCACAGATAGTGCCACATGTTGTGTTCTTCCTTGATGTGCTCTTCGAAAGTGACAGTCTTGTTGTCAAATTTGTCTCTTTCCAAGCCTAAAAAGAGATACAAAGCCCCCAGTCCCAACTAAGTGGCCATGGCAAAGAAAAATTCTCGACAGGACAGTCGAGACAGAGAAGGTTGTTATTTCAGTCCTGTCTAAAGAGTTGGATTCTGTTGGCCTTATAAATGTACTCCCTTTTATATGCCAGTAGGAAAACACAGGCTGTGAGCCGACTGACACAGGTTTGAGTCTCACCTCTGACCCTGACCAGTTGGTATTTAATTTCTCTGCGCTTGAGCACCTCGTCAGTGAATGGGAAGACTACCACCTATGTTACCAGGATGTTGAGGGGTTAGATAGGGATATGTGTAAAGCACTCATGGATAGTAGGAACCCCGTGAAAGTAAGGTATCTTCTCCCAGGTAAATGCCAACATGTAGACATGTTAAAAAGTTTTGAGAAGACAGAATAAGGGCTGTAAGAACTTTAAACAAGTATTGAACTCTAGTTGGTAGGTCTGTATTTTGCAGAGGTCTGGGTGGAAAATTCTGAAACTACTTTCTGTGTATTTTAGGATTGAGCAAATAAACAAACATAGTGTGGGTAATGGGATCAGATTTCTTACTCTCACATAAGGGAGTTACAAATATGGAAAGGGAGAAAGAATAAACACTGATATTAAAATGGAATTAGAGGTGTCAATATGAACTTATGCTTTTTCAAATGTTTATGAACATAGATATAGAAATATAGATGTATGTGTATACATATATATATATATGTACACAGGCTTATATACATAGGTACGTCCCCTAGATCTGTGCCCTAATAGGCCCTGGGAGCAGTAGCACAGCAGTAGAATGAGCACACCTAGCCCTCTGATCATGGCTTCTAAATGCCATTCCCTACTAAAGTACAGGGCTCTTTGAAGAAATGGCTGTTTCAAGGGCAGGGACAGGGAAGGTAAATGGTGAGCCTGGAATATCTTATTGTACCACAAAAGTAAGGAAGTACATTAAGGATAATAGGGACATGACAAGATAACACAGAAGCCAGCTTGAAGGGGCTGTCATTGGTCAAAGCTGGGGCAATTTGAAAATCAAAATAAGTAATCATAGCAAAGGATTATAACCCATTAAGTGCATGTTGTTATAAATACATACACGCAAACATACACACATACATGGGAGAGAAGAAAAAGTTCTTTCTTATAGTAGAAAGCCAATTAACAAATGTGGAAAGAATAATGAAATAAGAAAATCATCATTTGGCAATCATCATAATAATAGATTCAGGCCAGAATTATCAATGGATGTTAAAATTCATGGGTGAATGTCTGAGGAGTTAACAGGTATTTACGAAATCTCAAAGTATGTTCCCGTAAGATAGTTATTCATTACAAAGAGAAAAAGAGTAAACTTTACAGTGGGGAAACTTGGCAAACACCACCTTAATCAAGGTGATCAAAGTTACTATCACCAGCAGTAAGGTGGATTGGCATCCTGTGCCTCCTGATATAATGCACTGAGAAGAACACAACAAGTTGTCTTTGATATGCCTGTAAAAAATGCATAACCTCAATCTTGCCATGAGGAGACATCAGACAAACTAAAATCAAGTGACATTCTACAAAATAACTGCCTATAATTCTTCAAAAATGTCAAAAGAGGCTAGAGAGGCATGACAACTGAATGCAACAATGACCTGGGATTTTCGTTTGCTATAAAGGACATTATTGGAAAAACGGGTGGAATGTGAACTTACAGATTATAGTATTGTATCAGTGTTAATTTCCAGATTTGGATAATTGTACTGTTGATATATAAGAAAATCTTCTTGCTTTTAGGTAACAGAGTTTGAAATATTTAGGATAAAGAGGCATCATCTCAAACTGTTCAGAAAAATAATGTGTGTGTGTGTGTAAAAGAATAAAGCAAATGTGGCAAAATATTAATATTTGTGGAATCTCGGTGAAAGAGACACAGAAATTCTTTGCACTATTTTTATGATTTTTCAGTAACTCTGAAATTATGTTTAAAAAAGTTTTAAGGGGGAAAAAGCAATGAATTTAAGTTATAAAATGAAAAATGTTCATTTTGGGGGGTATACATACCAGAAGTAAATGTATATATTTATGTAACTATACAATGAATAATCCTCACATGATTACTCAGCTGCCAGATTCCTACATGATTAATTTACATTTACCTATATTTCCCTGTAGCTTCCTATACAGAAAATAATTGCTTTGGTAATCCACGTACCTCTTTCAGGTAACAGTTGCTAATTGTTGAGTATCTACAATGTGCCAGGTTCTATGTTAGTAGTATTATATAAACTCTCTCTCTTAGTTACCACAATAATTTAGAGAAGTACGTAATATTGTACCCATTTTACAGATGAGGAAAAAGGTTCCGAGAAGCTAAGTGAATAAACCAAGCTTACACGGCTAGTAAGTGATAGCAGCTTAAACAGTACCCAGGTGACTCCCTGGGTTCCAAACTCTGAACTCTTGCCATATACTCTACAAAGAATATTTTTTCACTTAATGCTTGATTCTATCTGCAGTGAAGACATTCCACAGGCTGAAGTTGAATGAAAATGTCTTGAACGGGACTATTATTCTGTTGGGTAACTTTCCTACTGCCAGTTTACTTGAACGGGACCAAGGAAGATCGAGCACCCCAACAACAAAAGACCCTGAAATTCATTCATTTTAAATAATGCACGATCACATTTCTGCTCCCCTAAACCTCATGTCTAAAAACCACCTGCATAGAATCCAGCAGCACTCAATGTCAAGGACAGAGATGTTCCAGAATGCAACCAGCATCCCCTCCCATAGGACATCTTGGGAGGGGGTGCTGGTTGCATTGCCTCACGTCCTCAGCATCTCCAGCTCATCTTCTGCTCCGTGAGGCCTTCTCTCTCTTGAGGAAGCTGGGCAGCAACACTCACCACAGATAAAGCACGTGGTCTTTAAGATTTCTTCCTTCTTCTGCTTCTCACTCCTCAGGTCTGCAAAGGTGTCAATGATGACCCCAAAAATCAGATTCAGGACGATAATGATGACCATGAAGAAGAACAAGAGGTCATAAATCACTCTAGCCGCAAAGAGGGGCTCCTGAAAAAGAGAGGTGTCTGAATCATTCCGGTCACCCCACTCCCCTCTGGTTTGCAGAGCTCAGTGGTGAAAGCACACGCAAGTCACACATCTCAACACTTGTGTCAAACTTACACCCATCAGCAAGCCATCAGTCTGCTTCTGCAGAAGTTAAAGGGAGCGTCAAACTTGAAAACCCACAACTGGATCATTGCTTTTGGTAACCCGTTTCTAAATGGCGAATTCTCCAAGTGCTATGTGACACGTGGAGGAAGCAGCTTCCTGGGATCTGACCAGTTGCTGTGGAGCTGATTCCAACTCATGACGACCTCACGTGTGTCAGAGGGGAACTGTGCTCCATAGGGTTTTCAATGGCTGATCTTTTGCAAGTAGATTGCCAGGCCTTTCTTCTGAGGTACCTCTGAGAGGACTCAAACCTCCCACCTTTCAGTTAGCAGCCGAGCGCACTAAGCGTTTGCACCACCCAGGGACTCCTTCCTGGGATCTAAGATGTTTGGAAATTGTATACACGTTGGCCAGCCCCAACCCTGAAGGAAACAATCACCTGACTACACTGAATGGAAAAATAAAGCTGTCCCTTTCCCCACAGCTGATTTCGCTGCACTGCTTTAGCATGGCAAACGGAGATGAAAGGAGCCTTAAATATCTAGTCTGCACATCCACTCATTACTACTCTCAGCTCTTCCTTTCCTTCTTCAGTTTACACTTCATCCCACTGCTTTGTGTGCTCACCACCCACCCACCCCCACCCCCCTGCTCTGCTCTTCCTTCCCCTCGGGATTCATTTACCTCTTTGGAAGGCTTCCTGAGCACATCTCCTACTCCGCCCCCGCTTCGCAGCCCGTGACTCAGTACAGTAACAATGCACATCAGCAGCGTCTCACATGTATGCTCCTTATCTTGCTCCAGTTCTTCCGCAGGGACCAGCTCTATGCACACAGCAAGGAAAAACAGATTTAAGACGTGAGGGAAGACAGATACCATGATTTTGATACTCCATTTCCTGAATGCCATCTCCCCAGCTGACAGGAACAATAAAAAAATAAAATTAAGCAATCAAGAGTCAAATTCTTTCAAAAGCTCTCGCTGTCTGGGGGCAATTTTGTTTGGGTCACTAAAAACCAGTTGTCGTGGAGTTGATTCTGAATCCTGGTGACCTCATGTGTGTGACAGTAAAACCATGCTCCACAGAGGTTTCAGTGGCTGATTTTTCGGAAGCAGGTCACTAAGGCCTTTCTACCAAGGTGCTTCTGGGTGGACTTGATTTTTCAGTTAGCAGCTGAATGCATCCACCGGTTGCACCACCCAGGACTCCCTATCTCCTCTATCCCATCCTTATTCCCAGCATTTAGCATGCTTTCTAGTAATCACCTGTTCACCTGCCTACCTCTCCTACATCATTGTATCTTAGGGTACAAGAGAGCCCCCAGCAAACAGTGGGCACTCAGGAAATAGTGGCTGAATCAATTAAGCAGGTATTTTCTTCACATGGAGCCCTCTTTTACCTCCACCTCCCTCTTCTCTCCCAGCCTTTCCTCTTTGCCACTGGCCTTACATCTGAGCAGAGTATTTGCTTTAATTTGCTTCCAACATCATCTGCATCATCTAAGCCTCTGGAGGAGTCTGACATTACTGTGGGGCTTCGGGCTACCAGGTCCTACCTTCTTTGAGTGAAGGAGAGGAACAATTCTCTCCAGATTCCACCCTGCACACATCCGAGTACAGGAACTCGCTTGCCAAACTCTCACCGGCTTCTAGGAGACGGAAATTTTATGATGAATAATCTGGCAGCACATGGTTAAAATGTTTGAATTCACCAATTCACGGCTGATTAAACAATTCTGTACATAAATAACACCCTACAATCCTGCATATAAATTCCAAGCAGAGATGCAATTTACACTTTCATTTGGTGATCGAGATGGGAAAAAAGCCAAAAATGTCAATTTCTGTAGACTTACTAGAAATATCGCACTTAAATAGCACCTCTTCAACTTTAAAGACAAACAGCTGAAACTCTTAGACAAACTACTACTGAATGTACAGACTCCAGCAAGATTTATACCAAGTCTGCATGGGAATCATCAGCCGGCATTAGTGGAAATCCGAGGTCCAAACTGGTTTAGGTCAGAACCCTAAGATGGTTGGCAGTCAATTCCATTTAGTATCGACTTGGAGGCTGGAGTTATGTGCCAAGAACATAGCATTTGGGAGTGAGGAAACAAAGGCTGCCTGGCTCAATTAGTCACAACAACCCAGTATGTTCCTGGAACTGGAGGCGCCTGGCTACCTGATGAAAAACCAGTAATATTTTACTAAGTAATGCCAAATATTTTAATTAAGGGAAAAGAGCACTTGAGTATCACTCAAGGATGTGATCTCTTTTCATCCTCACAATTGGAAGGCTCTTCTGTTCTTGCTATATAGAAAACTAATAGAAGCTGACTGTACAACTTGCACATAGTAAAAAAATAAAACCAAACCTAGAGATGGTCACTGCTAGTAGTTTGGGGATATACTTATCCGTATTTGAAAAGACATGTCACGAGACATATAATGAAGGGCACTGAGTTTCTGTTTGGGGTGTGAAGAAACTTCTGGAAATAGATAGTGGTGATGGTTGCATAACATGGTGAATGTAATTAATGTCACTGAATTATACACTTAAAAATGGTTACTAGGGCAAATTTTTTGTCATATGTATTTTACCATAAAAAAATTATAAAAGAGATGTAAGAGCTTTTTAAATAAAAAAAATTTATACATGTGCTCTACTATAGCTATTCTTCTGCAATTTCCCACTATATATTGTGGCTAGTTTTTCCCATGAACATTTTTAAAGACACAACCATATCTGCAGAGTACTCTACCCTATGGATGCACCATAATCTGGGCATTTAGATTTCTTCCAGCTCCACACTGCAGCAAACACTCTTCCACATGCAGCTGTTTCTACGTGAACAGTCAGTAGGTTTTTCCCCTAAGAATAAACTCCTAGAAGTGAACTGACTAAGTCAAAGGGGATGCATACTCCTAAAGCTTTCAATATAGCAAGGTCAAACTGCCTTATGAAAAGTTGTACTAGTTTAAAATATGACTTCAGTGCAAAAATTAAATGTAAGATTTGAACATTCATCCTTAGCATTTGCTGTATCACATCATCCTCTACATACCGCGAGAACTAAGCCATGAATTCAAAATTCACTCTCTGGGTGTTGGGGAGATAGCTACATTGCTAAAGTCATCATTTTCTTTAGTTCAGTTATAATTAGGAAATATTCCTTATTTTTTGTCTCATTTCCTCACTTTTTTATGCGGTAAAAATATATATAAAAAATATGTATACATAACAATGCGAACGCAACATTCTTTACGTGTACAATTCAGTGACATTGATTACGTTCATCATGCTGCGCTACCAACACCACTCTTCATTTTCAAATTATTCCCCCATCCCATTAACGGAAACTCAGTGCCCCCTAAGCAATGACTCCCCCTTCCCCCCCAATTTCCACCTCTGTTAACCACTAATAAAGACTTAGGTCTCTATATATTTGCCTATTCTAGATACTTCGTGTAAGTGGGATCATACAATATTTGTCCTTTTGTGACTGACTTATTTCACTCAGCATAATATTTCGAAGGTTCATTCATGTTGTGGTATGTGTTAGGACTTCACTTCTCTTTCTGGCTGAGTGGCTTACTCCACTGTATGTATATATCACATTTTGTTTGTCCATTCATCTATTGATGGACGTTTAGGCTGTTTCCACCTTTTGGCTACTGTGAACTGTGCTGCAATGAACATTGGTGTACAGGTCACTGTAAGGAAATATTCTTTATATGTTAAATAAGATCAGAAGATCCCAAACATACCTGGGAGAGCCGTTTCATTGGGCAACCTATCTACTTCCAGGATAAAATCATCCTTGAAGAAAAGGTAGCCCACTATGGAGAACAGGTAAACCAGGATCAGAGCCAGAACTGCTGTCAGGATAATGGACCGTCCGTTGCGAGTGACACTTTTAATGACATTAAGCAGAGTCTCTTCTCTGTACACTAAATCAAAAAGCTTTAAAAACAAACAAAAGGAGGATGATAGGACAAATTCTAGAAGGCCTGATTTACATCAATATTCCATAATGAAAACTTGCTTTATAGAGCATTCACCCTCTTGGAAACTCAAATGAATTATACTATTATCTTAACATTTCAATCATGCCTGTCTTAATACTGAAAACTGAGATGGGAAAAAGAAGGAAAAGTAAATATAGCAGAGGAGGGCAGGAAACAATTGCAACTTCAAGCAGTATTCAGGGCAGTTCAGGGTCCTGGAAATGGAGAAAACATAGGGTTATACCAATGAGGTTCAGAGAGCAAGGGAGAGAAAAGTGATGAGGGTCCAGGCATACATTCACTTAGGAGGTATTTATTGTCTACTAAAGGCCAGAAACTCTGGATATGGCAATGGACAAGACCCTGGTCTTGTCCTCCTAGAACATAGAGTCTAGTGGAGAAGGCAGATGTGCAATAAATCAATGCTAGAACAAGGAGACTGCGTTTAGATACAAGTTCAAATCTCAGCTCAGCTACTTACCGTCCCTATGATCTTGGGTTAGGTACTTTCCCCTTTCCCTCTGAGCCTTAGTTTCCTCATTTGCAGGTTGAAGAATGTAGAGTTATTGTAAAGAATAAATAGACAGCATATGCACAATGCTTAGCAAATAGTTATAGACATGTACTAAGTGCACAATAAATGGTAATTATCATTAAATTCCTGATTAAGAGACTGGGTCAAGGTCACATAGCTAATAAACGGCAGGGACATGGGTGGTGATAATGTACCCAGAAGCCTAAACTGTTACTATTTACCCCCCACCCCCCACTCCCACATCACCCAGTTGGGGGAAGGCCCTTGCATTTCACAATGTGTCTAGATCTAGGATTACTTTGGTTAAGGGACCTGCTCTTTGCATGAAGTTAGCTACGTGAGAAATGGAGGATCCCTATAGATATAGTGATCTAACTGATGGCTAGTTTTCCAAGAACTGCAATCTCAGGTATTTGGTGGGGGAATGGTGGGGAGCTATGGGAGGAGAGCTCTATGGGGTTACTCTTTGACCACTAGGCTAGATTTTAATATGGCCCCTGTGCTGACCTGACAATTAATCCTTTTCCAAAGCTTCTACCATCACTGGTGCTTTGGTGGACGACTGTGCACGGTGACCTGAGTCAGGGGTCATGGGTTTGAAGCCTGACTCTGCTTTTAATTTGCTGCAAGATGTTGATCAAGCCATGCAGCCTCTCTGAACCTCAGTTTCCTCATCTGTAAAACAAGTGGACTAAACGAGCTGATCTCTGAGTCCCTTCCAATTTAGAATTTTATGTCAGAGCCCATTTTCTGGTCAGTTAGCTTTTCTGCCTGCCTACCATCAATCTGCATCCTGAGGCTAGCTGGTGAAGTGCATGGGGTAAAGGATAATACTTAAAAGGAAGCCAGGGAGAGGCATTCATTCAATCTAAGAGTGTAAAAGACTACGTGCTGCTATTGATATTGGTTAAATATTTTTCAGTAACTCCATATAAAGCAGCAAGTAAGAGCAACTTCCAACAACAAACAAATGCCACTTGTTTTCTCTAAGAACCTTAGAGATCTAGACAACCCTCAGTTCATTGAAATGGCAGGTGATTTTTTTCTTTTCGCTTATCTATATTTTTTTAATTTGAAAACAGTGAACATGTATTACTTATATAAAGGGAACACTTTCTTCTAATCAGAAAATCACATTGGTTCAATGGAGAAAACTTTGAAAACACAGAAGAGCACAAAGAAAACCCCAAATCACCAATAATCCCACCAACTATAGACATCTACTCAACAATTTCTAGTTTCTTTTGTCCTTTAAAAAATGTAATATATACACACCCATTTTTACAAAAATTTTATACCATAATATTGGTATGCAGTCAGCCTCTTTCACCTAGCAATTATGAACATTTTCATGTCAAAAATGATCGTCCAGTATTTCAACTATATAGAAAAAATACCATTTACTTAACCAATTTTTAAAAAATATTCAAGATGTTTTCAATTATATGTCATGATGAATAATACTGAGATGCACACCTCTGTATATACCTCTCTACACACTTGTCCAGTCATTTCTTTTTCGTGAATTTCCGGAAACAAAATTATTGGGTCGAATATTATATTAGAATCACATTGCCCAATTTCCTTCCAGAAAAGATGTACCAATTTATCCTTACCACAAGTAGAGAATGTTGCCCATTTTACCCCATTCTCACTAGTACTGAGCATGATGGTGCTTTTTAAGCTTGCCTAAGGTCACAGATAAAACAC